TGAGACAAGTGAGTGTAATGTTCTGCATGCCAACAGTTCTGGAGCAGCAGGCTATATATCTTTGGAAGGATCATTTTATTTTACTCCTATCAGGAATTTCATCAGCTAAGCTATGTTGCTCTTGAGAAACAAGAGGGAAAATAAAGAGAAAAAGAAGAAAAATGAGTACTTTAATTGAGTCTCACTTCAAACTAGGGCACTCAGTAGTCTTCCTCATAATGACAAATGGAGTTCCTCACTCCTGCTTTCCCAGCTCCTTGTAAATCTTGATGGCTTTTTTGTCTGGGAATGCCAGTCTGGCCAAATTATCCTGGAAAACTCATGTCAAACACTGGGGCTGGCTGCCAGTTCTTATCCCCCATTCAAGTGTCTTAATTAGCAGAACATTTAAAATCTCAACAACCCCAATTTTCTTTAAAGTCAGTAGATCTTGTTGGTTCAAGTGTTTACCAGCTGATACCTTAAATATTTTTTTTCCTCTTGGCAAGGAGTTTCATCTCCTGAGCTTTTCAGTACTGACAATGCACATCACCTGTTTTTAACTGAGGGGATTTTTCACATGAGAAATACTTTTATTAGGTGAACTTGCCCCTTTGTGGTCTATAAAAATCTTAGAAAAAATAAGCTAAGATTTAACTATTTTTAATATGTTGCAAATGGCTATTTTAAATATTCTTTATATTTCTCAGGAGTTCATAATTCCTAGTTTGCAGGGCTTTGCTAAGCAAGTGGATTGGAACAGGTGAACGTTTCTGCTCTTCTTGGGAACTGATTGTTTTTCTTTTCCTTAACTCAGAGGGCTTGTGGTGCTCCTTCACCTGTTAAAACTGTACTGTTGAAGGGAACCTCTTCTGAAATGCTGTAGCGGGAGAAAACATTCATGTCAGCTTCTTGTCAGGGCAGAGAGGACTAAAATTTATTTTTGCTATAGGTTATGGGAAACGGATACTCACTGCATAAATACTGCACTGTGGTGCATAGTGGCCTGCTGAAAGACACTTGTGTTTTTATTATATGCTGTCCCACTGCATGTTTATACCTATATGCTGACTGTGTTCCTGACATACAGCATCTGAGAGAGGCACCGGTGTCAGCCGGAAACTTTCACTGGCTTAACTAAACCTGAAGAAACTTCTGCTTTTAGTTCTAGTGATCAAACTTCTAGCTTTCTAGTACCCAACAGCTTTAAGTTACCAACATGTATAACTGTATAAATCTTAATATTTGAAGATGATAGATTACAAAGTGTTTCTGTTAGGAATAATCAAGCTTTCTCTGTGGTACATATGGCTTTTGGCTTACTTGTAGAATCCAAAGCGTTTTCTGGTGTTCTTGCACTGACCTTAGTGTGGAAATCAAAGAGGAGATCCCAAGTCAGCTTTGATTACCAACTTACATGAAATGAAATTCCTTGTAATCTTTAGTAGCCACAGAATATGCCATGACTTTAATGCATTCCTATGCAGCCTTGCCCTGATAGAAGATACTTTCTGGAAAAATACTGTTAGAGAGCTTAAGAGCAGTTTAGAAATACCGTCTTAAAATGACCTTCCCAGCAATAGTGTAGGGGAGCAATGCTGAAAAATGTCCCCGTATAGGTAGTAAATAAAAAACAAAGGTATTCTCTTTCAGGTGCTGTCAATAGTGACTACAGATATCTATAAATATATATTAAATACATAATTTTAGGAAACTGTGTGGCACTTTCTCAGAGGTTTAATTTTCCATAATAATAGCAATAAAATGAAACAGAGCCCTTGGAAGGTGTGAACTCCTGCCTGGACTCAAAGAAGGCAGAGGAAAGAAATGAGTGATTATATGTATTTTCCCAGCTCCGCCTTAACCCACTGCATGTAAAAAGAAGAGGGCAAGACCTGGGAAGATACTGCACAAGAAAAATGATTATTAGATAAAATGACACAAACACATTCCACAAATGCTGCTGCAAAAGGAAGATGGAACAAAAATAGTACTTCGTGCAAAATTTACTATATACGGCACAGAACTGTAGGAAGATAAATAGATCTTGTGAATAATGACCTCTTATTCACCTGTTTAATTAGAAATTATTTTTCCTCAGACTGAGAATTTATTTACCCTTGATTACAGAGAGGAGATAATTACAGGGAGTTAGAAGATTTTACTTTCTTTTTTCCAAAAACAATTCAACTTTGGCCAAGAATTTGTTTTATATAAAACTTATATAACGGTACTCTGGTAAAGATTTCTTCTACATCTTCACTGTCTCTCTACTTTGGGTAGGAAGGCAGGCTGACTTTCTTTGAGAATGTGACCTTCACTTCGGGACTGTGCCATTATCTTCCTTACTGAAACATCACTGTTTTTTTGGGCTTGGCAAAACTGTTTTTGGTACTGGATGCCAAAAATACAACAATCCCTGCACACTTATCAAAAGCAGATCTCTGTAAAGGTCATCCAGGATGTAATAAGAATGTTCCTGATCTTAAGGATGGGAGGACAAAAAAAAGGACTTATGGGACTGGGGCAAAATGAGAAATCTGGACAGGTTTTCAAAACTTGTGTATGTCTGGGTGGGACGGTGATTGTGCTGACTTGGTAGGTCAGATGAGGTTTAAAGTAATCTGAACCTGAACTATTTGCTCTGCTGTTTGGGCCTGTAATTCATTTTTCACTGCAGTCATTGGAACAGCAGAGATGAGAGATCCGGTTAAACTTAAAAACAGCTGCCAGATGTTTTTCAGGGGAAAGGAGGGAGGTAAGATATTGAATGAGAAGACTAAGAAAAATAATTCTTTGGGGGCTGGGCAGGAGTCTCTGTGACTGATTCCTGCGGCTTAACTTTTGGCATGTGTTCAGCACCTCGCTGTTCAGGGGAATCATCTTGTTCCTGATTCTTTGCTGTGCCTTTCATTTTTCATTCTGCTTTCTTACATCCCAGTGCCAGAAGCATCACTCATGTCATGCAAGAAGAAAGACTTAGAGAGTCCTGGGCTCCCTTCATGGAACAGTGGTCTTTATCCCCTTACCAGTAAACTGAGAGATGTAATAATCTCTCCACTTCTGTTCTGGCAGGTAAGCTGTGCTGCTGTTGAGCTGAAGGGAATGGAGATATTTCAGTATTATGGAAGAATTTTTGAACACGAGGCTCTATTTATGCATAACATTACAGGAATATTGGAAAAAGTATAGGGAGTTCTCAGGGTCACACATGCTTTTGTGAAACAAAATTTTATGAATGGAAAGGAAAGCAGAATTTGACAGTAAGGAATGGAAGAAAGTGTAATTTAATTGAAATACAATACAAAATCTTATTTGAGTTAAATATGACTTATAGCAGGCTTTATTAAAATGCTATTGATCACTCCATTAGGTGTTAGAATGGATAAAGATGATTGTTCTCAGTCTCTGTGAATGTGGTGTTGAGTTGCATTTTATGAGCATATCCATATATCACAGTAAGAAGAGCTTTCAATTGAATCTGCTAGTTGATCCTTCTGGGAGATTAGATACTTGCTTTCAAAGATGCTAGAAGCTGGGTGACCACTCAACTCTTCTTGGTCACTAGCCAAACCTCAAAAATTAGAAAACCTCTCTGCATGCACTCCTAAAAAGACTAACTGTAGAAAGGTTGGATGTTAATATGTTTATATATAGATAGATAAGATATTGATATAGGTATATATATATTTAAAGCTGAAATTGTTAATCAAAGTCCTTTCTGGGAAACAAGTTGATTGCTGTAATGACCCTTTTCTTCCTCACTCTAATCAGAATATCCAGTAGTAAGACTCTAAGTTCAGCACAGATGATACACAAGATGTTAAGCGAATCATGCATGTAAGATGCTGCTATGTGGAGCCACAAACTACTGAGCACTCTTGTCGTTTCTTTTTTTTAATATTTTTTTCCTTTACTTTGTACTTTGTTTCTTCTTTAAGCTTGTCAGCTACTGATAAGCCTTAAAGGATGAATTTTGTCCCAAAACACTTTCTTGGCAAACAGCCAGTGGCCGATCTCCATGGCATTACATACCATTCAGTGCCACTGTTAACATTACTAGTTCACACATTTTGATTGCTGAAGCAACTCCAATGGCACCAAATCCCACAGTTAGATGTATTTTGAAGTCAAGGTCAAAATTCCATAATCTGCTGGCTAGTCATGGAATATACAGTTGTTGTTATTCAGTATTCCTCTACTTATTCTATCCCTCTACTTATCATCCCAGCAAGAACAATACTAACGAAGCATTTGGCTACTGCTAGCCCCCGAACAGCCCTGCACATTTAAGTCCTGAGGTATGTGAAAGGCTCAAAGATTTGTTTTTACGTCAGCTTCTCTGCTTATGGATATTAAAATTTACCCTGACCTTTTGGTTCCTTTCACAACGTGACCATTTTCAGGCATCATTTTGACCAAATCACATATTGTACAAGAGTAAGTTTTCTTCCCCCTCCCCCCCCTTTATTTTTTTTTCTTTTTTCCCATTACCAATAATGGTCTTTGAAAGAAGAAGTGGCAAAAGAAAAATTACAATACACATTGTACAAGGCATTGCATCTGATTGTTTTTTTTCACTGGGGATATACTAAGATAAAACTGAAACTGTATGGAAAGAATGAAGAAAAGCAGAAATATTCACACATGGTAGCAGTTGGATGGAAGGCAGGCCATCCATCAGTAAATATCCGTTAGGTGTTTATGAGCCTGCCTGGAGTTTTTACAAACGCTATCTTAGATAATAGACCAGTGTTCAGCTGCATGCTGACATCCATAGGGTAATGCTCTTTCACAGAGAGTTATTGTTTGATTTCATACTCCAAATTTGACTCCTTCGTCTATCTATTAAAAGAGCCTCTTGCTTTTTCACAAACAAACTCTACTAGTCTATCTTTCAGTGCTTTCAGAACAATTCTAACCTACTTATCCTTTTTGACCTGCATCCCAAAGAAAACAGCATAATTGGTGATTCTGAAAGTTCAGGATATTTTCAAAGATAATAAAAATAGAACAGTCTCTTAAATGCTGAAAATTACAACTTTAATTATAAAGTTATTTGTTCCTTTATATTTAAGTTTTTTTTCCAATTCAAAGTAATTTACACCAGCGTTGTATTAATAGCTTTGAAAAATACAAACACTATAGTCAGCTTTAACATACAATCAGCAGTAAGCTTTGAATGCTGTGTTCTCTCTTGTCATAGCAATGCTGCAATTCAGATACTTTAATACAACATACCAGACACTTTCAACCATACGTACAGATCAAAACAACAGAAAAAGGATGTGAAAAAAATATGAAATTATGCTGAAGGATTGACTCTTATATGGATTTCTACCTTGCTTTAGAGTGTTTCTTTCTTGACATGGGAATACAATTTTCTTGCAAGAAGAATAGATTATAGTCAGTGAAATTCTTGTCCCACTGAATTTGGTAGGAGTTTATCCCAGTCACACAGGGAACTATCACATAGAATAAGGATTCTTTATTTTCAGTCACTGCTAATTTTGCCACCTTGGACTAGGCAAAGACCACTACTTCTACAGACATTTCATTTCTTTGTTATACAGTTGGATATATGTTTTTCTTTGCTATCACTAGCTTCCTTTACAGCTGGCTGTGTTTCCAAACCCTGGATGTGTTTTCATTGCTTGTTCAGAGGTTCTTTAGTGTTCTCTCCTTTATGAACTGCTGCTGTGAAGCTTTTACGTTTTCCAAACACAAAAGCTTTCTTATGTGAATTACTGAGAGATTTTAGAAAAGGGAATAAACAGCTCTTAATGGACTTAGTAAGGGTGCTTTTTTGGTGTGTATTTACCAGCATTTTTTTATTGAACTAGCACATGCAAGGAATTCAAACGTCTTGTATAAATCTAAGAAATTCATTGTCATCAGTTGCCTTCTGCAAAAACACTTTGATTTCTCCAAATAGCACCATCTATTTTGTTTGATGAAAAAATTCTCTCATCTAATTACCTCTTCTCACTCTGTATCTTTTTTTACTAATTTACATCTTGTATCAGCTTTTTCTGTGCTCTGTGCGAGACATCCTTACATGGTTTTGGCTAACAGTACTATCCTACCTGTTCTTCTACTGTAAGTGTTGCAGCACTTTGTGTTCCCCACTGAAGGGGAGCATTCCTTTTAATATTCCCTTTGTGAAATTCTCTCAACGATTCCAAAGTTTGATTTAAAAGAAAAATCCACATTGAGAGTACTAAAGGGATCCTATGGTACTAAGAGTCTCCCAAAGTGATTTGGTCCTTTTGCTCTAAAAAGAAAGAAATATATACAATTAGTGTGACTAGTGTCTGTTTAAATCCCTTGCAGGATTGCATTCATGTGCAATGGCACTTTGGCCCCTAGGAGGAAGGTAGTGACCAAAATACAGGGGGATTCCCCAACCTTTCAAGAGGAATTAAGGCATCGGGACAAAACCAGGCTGCTTGAGGGACCTTCATCCAGATCCTTTCCTTAATGGATGCCAGAAGTTTATCAGTAATATGTTTAACAAACTAGCAAGCAAATGTGATCACTTTGTAAATCACTCAGGACAGATTGAGGCTTGACATAGAGTGGGTAGTGTCAGACTTTTGTGAAAATTAGTTCTTAGCTGGCAGAGAGGGACAGAGCATACTCACTGATAACAATGAATAAATGTTTAGTCTATCCTTTGCCATAGAGATGCCATGGGGAAGGCAAGGGAGATCTAACTGGGAGGCCAAGGCATTGCAGATGGGAAGAGCAGGCATAGCTGGGGAAATGGAGTGCCCGAGAGTCACAGGTCAGCGGGGCCTGCAGCAGTAGAGAAGCATGGGATAAAAGCACATGAGGGGAAAATAAAGTATTTCCTTCTTTTTCCTGTTCAGGAAGCAAATTGTTAGAACTGATTGATCATTGCTGATGAAAAGCTATGGCTGCCAACCAAGACAGTTCAGTGTTGTGCACAGTGTTTACTTTAGCACAGCATGTTGCTTGCAGGAGGATTTTTTGCTAATTATTAGTTCTTAAAGCAGTAGGAAGTTTGTAATGCCATCTTTTTACAACTAAATTGAATGACTCAAGACAGTAGAGTTACTGTTCGAGTGGAGAAAAAAAAAATAGCAGGATGAGGCCATTAGAGTTCTGCCAGTCATTCAGAAGTCATGGGTTTCTTCATTACAAAGCAAAATTTGTCCTCAAAAAAGAAATAAGCAGAAAATTTCCAAGAAGCATCTCTGTGTTCAGCATGCTCGAGTCATTTCTAAATACACAAAGTCCTGGAGCCCAAAAGGACTGTGTTAAAAAATAAACTAACTGAAACTGAAGCTCTTGCCAAATTCATTGCTCTGCAAACATTCATTGTGGCTCATTACTGCTAGGAAGCTGTTGCTGTACTGTTTGTTAGCCCAGATGAATAGAGAAAATGGGATAAAGAGATTTAATTAAGCTACTAAAAAAGGCATATAGTCAAAGACTAGTAGTTGTATTCAGTAGGGGAAGAAATGACAAAATGTCTGATGTTGACTGAACTTGTAAGAATTGGCTTAAATCTTCTGAATTCATGTCATTTCACCACAGAATCTGACCCCGTGGTTCAAATGCAGACACTTAGTCTGACTTAATCCATTTCATAATTTATAAACTTAACTTCCCCCAAAAGGAGACACTAATTCATGTTTCCCCATCTCGTATCAGGTATGTCACCATTGACTAATTAGAATCAGTGTGTTCAAGTTGCAAAAGCAGAATTTCATGAGTGGGGAAGGAAGGAATTTATTTTCCATTGATCCCCATACCTTGCTCTATAGTGAATTTTCTTCAACGTCCAAACCTATATCACCTGGTCGTTTGTAGCTAATAGGGACAGAAAGTGATGAAAGGTTGGCGCTCTTCTATAGGTCCTTCTAATGCTTGAAGAGAGGATTTTGGTGTTTCCATGCCTTATATGACAAAAGCAGCAGAGCTTGTCACCCCATTTAGCATCTCCTCAGCGGTAATATTTACATTCTCATTGAACTAGAGGGTCTTCAGTTTTACAAACTCAGTTTTACAGCTAAGATTAGTTAATGTATGCAACGCTTGGCCCAGAAAAAATAAAAACAGATTCCTTTTTCAAAATCAGTAAAAAGATGAAAATAGCAAGGAATCTAGAAAAAAAATAGTCAGGTGCATAATATCAAAATATTTGTTCTCTGCTAGTTCTGTATTACGTATACTTTATACCTGAGCCACAGAATACAATTTGGCTTTGGAACAGTATGTTCTGAAAAAAATGCCTGATGCATTTAGTAAATGTGGCAGGATTTTTATATTCTTTGGTTAAAATGCAGACACACAGGTACTTGAGATCTAAGGTATTAGGATTTGAAGAGCAGTTCAAAGTCCATCTCCTTCAGCTTCTGAGAAAAGAATGAGATTGTGATTGAAAAGACAAAAATATCCCAGTTCTCCACTTGAGTCCTCACAGTCTTTTCTTGTCAGATCTGTTTGCGCTTTTGTGGTCAACATTGGTAATGTATGCTGGAGTCCTGGAGAATTTTGTGCTTTGGTGCCAAGAAGTGAGCACAAGTGATCAGTAACAGTGTCTTGAAAGCAGTTGTACATGACTTGATGTATACATTGCTCTACATATGTGTGTATATATATATACATAAGAGATAGAAAATACATGTTATCACATATTTATCCCTCTGTATTTTCAGTAGTTCAGGGCACCAGTGGAGCTGGGAATGAGCAGGTGCAGAGAACAATTACTCTATTTCTGGAGCTACTCTTGGGCTTTAATTAAGAAGCCAGCTTACTGGGTTAAAGAAACTCATCATCACTGATTCTTAGGTGAGGCATAAGGTCTTGTCATGTGATCCACCACGATCATTCTATATATTTATTTATATTAAAGCATTGATAGTCAGTGTAATTCTCTTACTGAGGAGAATGCAAAGGATGTACAGAGGCCATGCAGAGGGAGACATCAGTACTTGCCAATGGCATGCAGCTGAACAAGCTTCCTTCTATTGGCAGTCTTGTGGTTTCATCTGTAAAAGATTTATCACTATATGCACCAGAACTGAATTTCTTTTCCTGCAAAAATGCAAAATCTTGCTGGCAAGCATTCAAGAGAATGTTCCAATGCAAAATAAATAAATAAATACCCAGGCAAAAATATCTTACTCAAAAAAATCTGGCTGAGCTCAGTTGTTTTAAAAGGCCTGCTCAAACCAAGATACTTTACCTTTTAATACGTATCTAATTATGCATGCATGCAGGGAGCCTACCGGCTAATTGAAATCATATTTGCAAGTTTACTGGCTATTATATTCTACACTATAAATTCCAACATTTTGCAGTTCTCAAACTGCCATGAAGAGCAAGTTAGAAATAAATTCTTCATTCTTTCATTTTCCATGTTTCCCAACAGTTTTATTCCTTTGAATTGTCTTGGACTTTTATGTTTATAAAATCCTAAAAACTAAAAAGAAGAAGAAGAAGAAAAAAAGGTCTCAATCAAACTCCCCAAACAAACAAAGCAAACTCCCCTGTTGCAATAAAATTGCACATTTATGGGGATGGGGGAAATATCTGGGCTACAAAGCTATTTTTGTTCCAGCTACTAGTTTAATGTTTGTTCTGTGACCATTTGAAATTCAACTTCAGGTAGTTCTGCATAATATCAGCATAGAATGCATCATTAACTCTGAGAGGATGTTTTCCATTGGCATCTGCTGTTTTCACCAAATGTCAAGACTTGACATTTGCTATCGTTATCTGGTTTGGGTGTATCACTCATACTGAGATTTTGTTTCTTCTTATCTGATATTGATTTCAATTGTGACCAGCTGTGTTGCTTATAAAATCAACGGGCAAGTATCTGGCATTTAGCTCTTCATGGGTAGAGAAAAAGAAACAACTCAGCGACAAAATAAAGAGATACTTTTCAATCAGGATGCTTGCCTGCATCCTAATATTATCCATCTCTTGGCACTTTTGTTGTAGTATATCTGATTGATTCCCGTGGGGAAGTCTCCATGGAAATTCTTGCCTTTCATATGAAATATTCTTTTTTACTCTCATCCACAGCTTCCTGGAGAGCAGGGTCATTTTTCAAAGCAGCATCAGCGCTTTCAGCAAACTCAGTTCCTTTGGCCTCATTGGTGTGGTAGGTGCCCTTATGCCTGTACATGTACCGGACCATCACAACCAGCAGGCAAATGAGGACAAATACCACCGCAGCTATCACACCTAGAGGAAAAGTACTATTGTCAGAAATAAAATACAAGCAGCATATTACAGGCAGGCATCACAGCTTGAGTTACTTGATCAGAAAAAAAATCTGCGTAATGTAAGATATTCACAAATTGTAATGGCTGAGGTTAGAAAAGGTTCTGAAAGGAACAAATTGAAGAACTCAGATGGGATATACATACTGCAGAAATGCAGGTCGAATTCTTGATAGCTTTCTTTCAAATCAATAGCTTGATTTTGTTGAATTCGTTGGAAATACATTCAAAAATTCACTGCCATCCCAGTGGTAGTATGTATCTGGGGGAATATGCAGGCAGCCTGGTCCTACCCCAGTGAGTGTACTCAATTTCAGGAGGAGTAAAGGGCACTGAACATTTCTTTGGAGACATTCAACAAGTAGCAGGAGCAATGTGCCTGCAGTACTGCTTTCTGTTTGGGAGTCGTCACGTCATGTTGTGCTCTAATTAGGAAAATCTTATTGCAGTAAACATGAAAGTGACACCTAGGAGGGATTGTGGGTAGAACTTCTACATTTCCTAGACTAAGACTAATTATTGTCCCTATGCTGACTGGACAAAAATTTCCACAGGTAACCCCAAACTCACAAGGGACTGAATTATGAATGAAAGCATTCCTAGGTAAGGAAGGTAATTCGAGGCTCCAGGAATGGCTGTGCAGTGAACACCCTATATCCTGGCTTTGCTTTTTGTCCTTACTTTGCAGAGTCTTTTCCTTTTTTCCCTTTTTCCCTGTGAAAGGCGGAAGTCCAGAACAAAAAAGGCACCACTGACAAGTTCATAGCTAAAAAATTACAAGTTGTATACCCTCCTGTCAGATAAAATCAGTTTTTTAAGAATCTTGACAATAAATAAGATAGTATGAAGCTGATTTATTTAATTTTGATTTTTTGTTTTTTTCTTCCTTTTGCACTTGTGTATAACTTGGATGTTCTTCTAAGCTCTATAGCTGCTATTCTGTACAAGTGCATGATACTGAGCTGTTTCTATATTCATGTGACTCCAGGACCAAGGGGATTAAAGGAGTAAACCAAGCATTTAAGGAAAATGAAAAGCACCAGAAGAGGGTATTCCTAGGAAAATCCCATATGTGGATTTTGCAGCTGCTGTGAGAATGCAGTGGATAGGAACTCATCTGACTTATTGTAGGCATCTATGGTAGAGAAGGTTCCATTTGAGTTAGTCCCATCCGACTGCTTCTGCAGTCAGTGATATGGAGGGGATGATTCCTGTTCTTCTAGAAATAGAAGTCTGCGTTTGATCAGATGAATTGTTCTCTGGAAATAAGAACAATTCCACAGTGACAATGACAGCTGTGTAGAGAGTGTCTCTCTTTTGTTCCCTGTATTCAAGATATGAGTAAAGAGATTGTCTCCAAAGCTCTACATTTAGGAGCATCTGTAAACTAAGTTCAGATACTGTACTGACATGAAGATGGGGGTCTGGACAGAATATTAGCAAGGTGAATAGAAATAATAACTCTGTCTTAAAAAACATGCCTGCAACATCATCCCACAGGTTTTATGGTGCTTGATTCTGGAAAGCAAAGTTATTGCTGGCAGAAATTAAATTGCTCATACTGGGAACTTTAGGTTTACAGTGATATTTCAGTTATGGTGGGGATTTCATCAATTTTTCGGGCTGGTATCCCTTGACACAAGAGGTTTTAATAGGCTTTAGATATAGCACAATATTAATAAGCCTGAGGGACTAAGTACAAATCAATTTACCTGCTACTTGTTCATAGAAAGCTGAAATTAAAGGTACGCGAGATGGGACCTGAGGGAAATATAGCAGAGCCTCACCAATTTGCACTAATGATTGGTATACCCCCTTGTGAATAACTTAAATTAGCGCATTAGCATGAAATGAACAAACACAATAAAAGTAAAAAGACAGGGTTCTCTCTGTGAACATAGCTTTGCTCGTTTCTTCTGACAACTGTATTTAGTTTAAATGCATGAGGGTTTTTTAATGGAACACTAGGATGGGCTCTGTGGCATGTTCTGTAAGAATAAAAGGTCAGCTGGTGACAGCCTGCTCAAATCAAAGGCAGCATTCCAATTTTGTGTTGTGTGAAAGTCTTGGTCCATGGAATGATGAGAAATATCAGAGGTTGACTTTGCTACTGGGTGCTTGGATATTTTGTCCTAAAAGAAGGAATAGATGGAGGTGGTACAGCTCAATGGTTCATGCTCATTATCTTATCTCATTATCTTTGCCAATAGCCCCTGTGGGAGTAGATTTCCCACTGGCCTAATTAACTCTAATTGTGCCACTCCTGTTGTCTTGTCAGCAAAGTAGGAGTTTTGCAAAATGCAGGAAAGCAACCAACCTGCTGTTTTAATTCTAATGGTTCTGCTAAGTACAGCCTGCTTCCTACCTCCAATCACAGCCACATCTGCTCCAGCTGAGGAATTCTCAACATCCCCATCTATAAATAGATGAGAAGATACAAAAGTTAATTAAAGAAAAAGGACTTGGATCACACGTAGCAGCAGTGACTGTTCTAGCAGAGCTGTATTATTTTAACCTCCGAAACTCAGAACTTAAATAAGATCCCTTGTTAGCAAAATACATTTATAAAACATCTCATTAGAATTGTCTGTTTTCTGTCACCATAACACTGGATAAAAAATAACTAGCACATTATGCAAACTATTGTGGTCCTCAGGGAAACACATACTGTGTATTATGAGCACTTACCTGTAACATCCTCCAGTGAATGATTAAATTAAGGGCATCAGGTACTGTGATTACTCTCAGAAAGGCAGGTTTTTTTGTGGAGGAAAAAAAGTTAGCACCTATTTACTTTTCTCTGTATGGCTCTTCAGTCTGTGGTCTGGATTTTGTAAATCAAATTAGTTCTTTTGATTTTAATTACTACTTATTTGCCTGCAATATCCTGCTTTTAATTTTAGCATTTACTTTTAATCTTACAATACGTCATGTTATATGTATGGCTTTAAACACAGTCCTCATTTGGAGTAAGTCTGAGTTTGGTTCTGATAAATCAAATTACTTTCTTTACTGGATTATAAATTCTTAAACAAACAAACAAACATATTTTTGCAAATTGAAACCTAGAGAGAAGTATTTGACCACATCGTTTTAAGGGGTGGGAGATTGAATGGAGAAGCTGTAAGGTGAAAGATTCTAATCTGAACTATAATGCTTATTAGAAACATTCAAAACAGCTAACGAATAGGCAAAGTGTTTTAAAGGGGAGTGGAAAAGCAAATTCTAAAAAGCAGTGAGAATTTGGCTCTCCTTATCTGATACAAACCTTCAGTGAAAGTAAATTCACATAGATAAGCATTTCCTAACCAGCATCTCTGTAGCTGATCAACATACAGTCTTGTTTTCGGATCCTTGCATCACTGGTATCAACCCATTTACTCCTGAATTATGTGTGTGTCTGGGAAGGTCATAAACTCTTGGTGTTTGTCCATACTAGTTTTATGACAGGACACTCTTTGTGTATTATTGTACTGTTTATGCATTTCTAAGTGCTGTCAGTTTCCTAACAAGGCAGGTAGCTTTAGGTGAGTTGTTTTTTTTATTTTTTTTTTCTTTCTTCCTTATTAATATATACAACAGATAGAAAAGTTCTCTTGAAAACAAAAATTCTAATACCAAATCCTCTCATAAATTCAACAGTGGCACTGTGGCTGACTCTGGCTTTTTTGCTAGATCTGTGACAGACGTTGCAAGGAAAAATCTCACAGAAGCTTTCTTCTTACTCGTGCCCAGTTTCATATCAAATTGATGGGATTCTATAAATTCTTCACAGTCATGTGAAGTGCTTTATCTGGAAAGGAGAAGACCTTTTCTCTCCCACAGAAGTTCTTCCCACATTTTCTTCTGGCTGTATCCTGATGGAAGGACTGGGCACGCCTTGTGTAATTTAAAAACTCTAATTATGCGTACATCCGTTGAAAACCCATGTGCCTCAGAAGGGATTAATTGCTTCAAGGTCAAACTGTGGAGTAGTTCTTAATACAACAAATATATACTGCATGCCAAAGAAGCAAGCTCCTCTACAACAATAAAATTCTTAAAGGTGTGAATTCTGAAATACTTTCCAAGCTACACAGCTTGCTTCCAACAATTAATTCTGGATCAAATCATTATCCCTTTAATTATAAGAAGGTAAGTGAGTAACTGTCAGCTCTTTTCCGTTCTTCCCATGTGTCTCTCAGGCCCAGATAACAAGCAGGTGTCTTATCTCTAGCACTTAGCACAGAAGTACTTTTTGATAATGGATTACAGAATCATCACTTTGCAGAAAAGTTTTCATTTCAATACTGTGCTAAGTTTTCAGAAGTACGTTGGTCCCATTTTGAGCTATTGTGTAGTTAGCAGTTTATCAGACACTGTTCTGCCACTCAGCAAATCACTAGCAGTGTGATAAAGCTTCATTCAGCATGGCTCTCATTTTACTGCAAGTATGTAAAAGTCTTACTTTTCTTTGGTGCATTTACGTTTTACCCGTCCTTGACTGGGTTTTGCTGCAACTTCTGGAGTGCCAGGAAATTGCAGCCATCAGTGATCAGAATTTTCCAAGGTCTGCTCCCTAAATCAATTATGAAGCAAGGATGAGGAAAGGGAGACGGTTATCCTTAGTACCTGTTTCACAGCCCTTAAGATTTCACTTTGTCGAAACACAGGGTCAGGCTGCTCAAGAAGGTGGTGGAGTCACCATCCCTGGAAGTGTTCAGGAAAAGAGTAGATGTTGCACTGGGTGACATGATATTATTGGTATTTCCAACTAGGAAATAGGAATGTGGTACATAGCAAATGTGATTTGGTGGTGGGTTGTTAGGGTAGTACAGATAAGTTGAGGTTGGACTTGATGATCTTGAAAGTCTTAAGTGATTCTATGGCAATATAATAATATTTCGAGGTGGGGGGAAGGTATCAGTGTCATTCAAGATTCTAATGGTATCATCTTTTACAAAAAATGACTAAAGAAAACAACGTCATTTTCCCAGAGTGGAGGTGAAACCATCCAGATCACCTTATTCCTTCTTCATTCTGCTGTTAACACACAGAGCACTCAAAGGTCTATATTTCATTAACTGCTTTTGCACCTGTTTTGGTTATTTTCCTTTGTTTCAAGGACATATTTTGTTATCTACTGCTAAACTGTCCTTGCAAAACTTCCTCTCACTGTTATACTGGCCCTCGTCCATAGCTGCAATCTGGTCTCAAATGTGTTTACACAGTGTTGTTATTTAGTGCCATTGGTTACCATGACACGCAAAAATCAAAAGTTTTTAAAAACCCTGGCCATCAGAATGGGTTGCCTGAATCAAGAATAGAACATAGAAATCAAATAGCCTAGTGTTGGAAAAGCAAGTTTCTAAAAGCTAGAATGAAGGGGAAAAATGCTTTTGTGCCATGACCTGAAATTCATCAAATTCCAGTTCTGTCCCTAAGTTTACAGATAAGATTTTGCAGTAGAACAACAATTGCTACCTGCCTCATTCTCATCAATCAAATCATGCCGAGAAGGCAGCAGCCTCTGAAAACCCCAGGAAATTTTCTGAGTCTGAAATACTGCAAGTAGATCTCTGGCTTAAGACCTCAAAAGTGAAAACCCGGTACAACTAGCTTTCATGTTAATGTAACCAGTGATAGTTTTTTTCCAGTGAATTCCAGTAAATTTGTTAAACCTTCTACTCTAGGCATGATTTTGAAATAAAACTTGACTTTTGTTAATTTTGATTTTTCTTTTATTTCAAACTGCTCTCGTTTGATTTTTGCTGAGGAGCACTTGTTTGAATAAGACAAGTCCAGCAGTGAAAAAGTTTGAAGTTCAGCACTCTTCTTATTTTGTTATACGCTGCTCCTGGCAGTTGTGACAGTTTCTTTACATCAGTTGGACTTGATGATCCTTGTGGGCCCCTTCCAACTCAGGATATTCTGTGATTCTGATTCTGCTGTGTAATCTAAAGGACAACCTGATGGGATAACATATACCTTAACTCAAACTTCTCAGTGTCTGTTATTTCCTATGATAAAGCTTCAAAGTAGGACAAGTGTTTACTGCTCTACAGTATCAAATATATAAAGAAAAGCCTGAGCTTACAGCCTTGCAACTTAGATTGTAATGAATCCCTTATAGCTGTGGTCCAGTTACACTGCTGTTTTGGAGTGGATGAGTCAAGCTGAATAAGTAGACAGATATCTACGTGTGATAAGCTGCTTTTGCAATATAATTTACAAAGCCACTTGAAACTACTGAAGCAGCACTGCTGCTGCTCCTGCCTTTCAGGATTTTCCTGCCCACAAGCTTATGCTTCTGATTCATAGAAACCTAAGCCAACCCTTAATATGATGCTCTGTTGCTGCCTGCTTGTGGTTATTATCTCAGAAGTCTTGGCTGCTAAGTTACACTTAAGTTGGTCTCTAAGTGCTTCCTTGGGCAACCTGCGTTCTCTCTTGATGTGCATGTTTGTTGCACAAGAAACACTTGAAAGTCATTTAATCCACTGGAATGATGAGCTGAGCTTGTTATGCAGCCCTTCTCTTAATAGGGCTTTCTTAGGCATGCAAACTAGGAAACACACTCTCCTCTTTAATAGGCTCACATTACCTCTGTATGAAAAACACTGCTGCTCACCTTACAGGTGAGGAACAACCCAGCTTTAGTTTAGTCTCCATATTCTTTGCAGAGCCACCCCAGATACTGACTACAGAGCAAGCAATGAGTAAGCAATCTGTAGGCTGAAATGTACCTTGGGAATTCAGCTACTTAATGTTTAATGGTTTTGTCTTAAATATTCATACAAGCTATCTGTGGACTTTTGATAAACAGGAGATATGTTCAAAGTGAATAAGATCCAGTTCATGATTCAGCCCACATATAAAAGGAGTTGAGAGAAAGATTTTACCTCTTTATTGATTGATCTTTCACACGTTATAGATTTGATTTGAAAGAATTTTAACTGTAACTTGAGACTGATAAAACACACTTTACTCAGCAGTAGCTACAAAGAGTCTACTATACTGTATCTTTTTTGGTTTTGTTTTTTTTTGTGTGTGTGTATGTCAATTGGCATAATACAAGATATCATACAAATCTTGCCTTATTTAAAAAGGTCTTAATTTTAAAGGGTGATCACATTTTTATCTAAGGAATTTGAATGGGGTTTCAAACCATTCATCACTGCTACTGCTGAAGAGGATAGTATGCTGCTTGTTTGGATTCAGTAACATACTTTAAGCTTCTGAATCTATAGACACCACTAGGTGTCTATAGGTGTCTAACAACTGTTCAATCCTTAATCATTTTTCCATTTTTTTTTCTCTTTTAATATTCCTTATATTAAAAAATATTTTAACTTTTATTCCCTCAAGGACTCTTTCTGTTCCTTGTGTGCTCTTCTGCAGTGACCACTCCTTTTGACTGTAAAGGCAGTTCTTAGT